GCTGCTGATCCATGGTGTGTCCAGACAAAAGAGAGCCACAGCATCTACGAGGGATGGAAGACCTGGCTGATCACCAAACAGAGGAAGAATCATCCACCTCCAGCTCCCTTGTTCTCCACCACGTATGCTCGTGCTTACGAGGACCCTCTGCCCATCAAGAAGGAGAAGCACCGTGACCTAATGAAAATGCTTGCCTACATGCCAGTGGGGGCCCAAGCATTTTATGAGGCATTAGAATGTGAAGAGTAGTCTGGGATGTGTTGTGCAGGGTAAGGTGGGTGTGGCGAACAGGACGAGAGATGTGAGAGAACGATGCAAGGCCAGTGGTGCGAGTGTTAATGAACGTCACCTGTGAGACGCACCGGTCTCGCATCTCTCAACGTTGTCACTCCTCCTTTATGGTCCGCTCCTCCGTGAGAGATGCGAGACCAGTGCATCTCACAGATGTCACTCATTAACATTCGCACCACCGCCTTGCACCGTTCTCTCACGGCCCTCTGCCTCATTCTATTCGCCACAGTGGGGTATATTGTGTATATTGTGTAAAAGTAATCATAATAGTAGCTTATCTTGTATGTCTTATCTTATGTTGTATAATAGGAATATATAGGTATTTATTTATTTATTAAATGAATTAATGGGCTGATTATTTCTGAAATGTATTATAAAAGTTAAAAGGAACAAAAAAGCAAGATGTATATAGTAAACTTGCATATACTGTAACATAGCATGGAATATTGATAATGTATTGTAAATATGTATTGTTTACCATTATTACTGTTGTTTATTGTTTGTATGTATTGTTGATTGTATGTATGGTTTATTGTTTGTACTGACATTTATTTTATGTGCTATGAGTAGGCCTATGTATTGGTTCATTGTTTGTACTGTATTGTCCGTATTTTTGTTTTGTGATTTACGTTGACAAAAAATAAAAGAAATTGAAAGAAAGAAATGCTTAATATTTTCTTTAAGGTTCTGTTACTGTATTAAATCTAAGTTAAAGGAATCAAATCTCCAGTTGTTTAAAGTGATATGATAAATTGGACTTATACTGTTCTTCCACATTAACTGGACATATACTGTTCTTCCACATTTCAGAAATGTAAACTACTCTAACTTTTTATTTTTATGATTGATACTAAAAAATCTTATCTCATTAGAATTGTGAAGCTTTTGTTGTCTATCTTCAAGTTAAAAAATAATAATAATATAATATTCAGAGTCCAAATTAAAAAAAAAACGTTATTATTCAAAATGTGAAAAAATGGACTTATATGGTTCTTCGTCTCAAGCCCTCATATGTTATTTATTTTACCAATTTATATGAGACATAAGGGAGAGAGAGTATAATGGACCCGCAAAGATCTTCCTTGTTGCTTCTGTATTTTTCCTCTCTCTGCCCAAACAAAGAACTTACACAGTACATATAGCTGTTCCAGAGAAACATCTGCTCTCCATCAATCATTGAAATGTATATTCTACTTCGATGGAAAGAAACATAATACACTCAACTTCCCCCCAAAGTCCCCCAAACTCTGAAAGTCTTCCACATACAGTATTCAGAAAAGTTTGATTCATAAAAATGTTGATTATAAAAGATTATGAATATATATGAAAAGTAAAAAAAATGTATATGAAAAGTGTAAATCACATGCATAATACTAATGATTATAATTATTAATAAAAACAATAAAAAAAACTAAAAACAACATTAAATGATGAGATTGTGAATCTTCAGTCCCTCCTCTGGAACTACGGCCGTCAGTTCCACACCATCATCTCCAGGTGGCCAACCTATTGAAGTGATAGTGCTGAGGAGAAATAGTAGACCAAGACATAGACATAGAAGACAAAAGAATGGAAAAGAAAAGAAAAGAAATAACAAACAAAAACCCAACCCATGTTATGTCCCCGTATGCTATGTGTCATTTAACATCTATGTGTGAGCATTTAAAATGAACCCCAATCATCTAAGAAAATAAAAACTAAAAAAGTCTTCTGCCCGTGCCTGGACTCATTAATTAATTAACTCGTTAATTAATTAAATCCCCCAGTTCCGCGCTTAAAATAACAAACAAAATAAACATTGATGTTAAAAGGGTCCTATCCCTTGGGGTTGTAAATCAGTAAGCGGGTGTTCATTGTTTGTGAGGTTGTGTTTTGTAAGTAGTGTAGTGGATAAAATCTCCTATCTCACTCCGAATTTTCCATTCTCGGTTCTATCCATTTTGTTAGTAATAACCAATCTAAAAGGTTTGGTACTTCTCTTTCTTATCACATATATGATAAGTTTTATTACTAACAGAAACACAAAAACTCCTACCATAGTCAAAACTATCCATTCCAACCATGTTAAATTCCCTGGAATTCGAACTAATTTCCTCTCAGACATCAATTTAGCTACTCCATTCGCTACGATAACATGACCCATTGCTTGAATTCCCTCCTCTTGAGCTGCCTTAACGCTTGCTTTAACTCTCTTGACCATTTCAAAGAGTTCATAATTCCTCTCTTCCACCAAATCATTATTCCACCACTGTGGATCTAACTGCAACAATTGTACATGTGGAACATGAATTCCACCCAATTGAAGAGGATAGAGAATCTCAACGCAAAATGGATCAGAAGGAATTGGACATAGCTTTCCTCCGTATATCATATTTTCATTTATTCCGTCATGTAATATACACCACTGTGCTTCTGACACCTGCCATGCACCTGTGGCTTGATCTAAAGGAACTACTTCCCAAACTGCAGATCCATTAAGAGACAGACTAAACATTGTAGAACATGAGCAAATTACCCACTCATGTTCCTCAATACAACAGTCTGTAGTAGAAATCATTGGTGTTTCACCTTCAGCCCAATATCCATTCCTTCCCAATCTAATTACTGAATTTCCTTGTCTAACCCCCATTGATTGGAATCGTCTAACTGTCATAATATTGCGTTTCCCATATTGAGGCCAGACCATAATCAAAGGTAATGTTCCAGAACCTGACAACGAATCTTCATTGATTGCGATTTTAACTAATGGAGCATGTTTAGCAGAAGTCAAATTAAGTTGTTTTCCAAAAACTAGTAACAAAGATTCCGCTATTCGCTCAGGAACTTGCCCCATTCGAATAACCTGAATATCCTCTACCATTTGATCCTTCAAATTCTGAGCCAAAAATAAACACGCTGCACGATGTGTCTCAAAATTAGACGATTTCACTAATGCATCTGCCAATTCCCTCGCTGCGTCATTAAGATGCTGACCCGCTGCTATAATATGTAGAGAACCTTGAAGAGTCTCAGTAAGTCCTTTGCCGGTCATTGTTCCCACCCACTGAGAGTACTCGCTTAATTGGTTCAGCTGAGCAGTATTACTAATTGAATTGACAGAGCCAAATACCCCCGCTATGTCTCCCCATATACTTCGAGGTTTACGATTTCGACTTCCAAGAGGATCCTTAGAGGTATAATATTTAATTTCTTTTTCCAACCAACTCCTAATTTTTGTGAAATTTCCACAATAGGACTGATCATAAACAGTAAGAAGAGACATCAAGTTATAATTAATGCGTTGTCGCACCATATGAGCTTCGTTTATCAAGGTTTTGGTTTCCTTTGCTAGCAATATACCATGAGCTGGTGCAATAGTTGTACTTGGGCATGTTTTAGCATTGTTTGTCTTTCCCGCAGAAAGATAAAAACACCGTCCAATTTCCCCAGTTTCTAATTCAGTCTCACAATATTCATTCGCATCTTCCGAATGCCAAACTCGTATGTAATTTCCCTTGAATCTAGTTGTCCTGGAGGTAGCATCCCATAGAAACCCCTCGCATGGTAACACTATGGGATAGATACAGCCTAGGGCTAATGAATCCCATATTGTAAGCATGTGGGTACGATTCAAAATGAAATTAATTTCCACATCAGTAGATGTTATGAGGTTTAACCCCACAATTTCACATTGTTCTTTTGAACAAATTTCTCGTCTTTGAGCACTACGGTATACCCCCCATCTTTCACCGGCCAAATTACTCTGCTTTTGTAACATTGGTGGTGAAAGTTACATCCACCGTAGATGCCCACTCGATATTTAGCAAGGTCTTTATCATTACGTGGCACCCAATCCCATAATCCCCATCTGGAAATAAAGGGTAGAGTAAAACGTTGGCCAGATTTCAGGGTTGCATTCCGAGTAATTTCTTGAACTCGAGGAGTCCATAAAGCTTGGCTTCCTTGGTAAATGCCAAGTAAAATTAAAAACAAGCATACCATTGTCGTTGTGTATCGAGAATAACTTGCGACCATCTCTAATCAATGTCAATGGAATTGATTCCTGAAATGGAAGCAGAAAAATAATTAATCATCACTCCTTTTTCCCAAAGTTAATGAGTGAACAGTGCTCAATCTCAGGTCCTAAGCCTTCATCATTTTGTTCATTCACTAAGCAAGGTTTAACTTGTGACCAATGATACCATCTATCTGTTCCTACACCCTTCCCTTTTAGGCAGACACTTGTATCTGTTGTTAAGAGTACCTCATATGGCCCCTCCCACCTAGGTTCTAAACCTTTCCTGGGAATACGTTTGACCATAACAAAACTGCCTAACTCAGGAATGTGTGGAATGTCAGTAGTGGTATGTTTTTCATCCCATTGCTGTTGAGCTTCTCGCACTTTCTTATTATTGTCTTTGATTGCTTTGTCCAGCATTGCAAGATAGCGTCGTAGCTTCTCTTGGAACAAAGTAGAGTCTCCTCCTGTTCCCGCAGGCGGCGGAGCATCAGGAGGCAGAACCATTGCTCTTCCAGTCATCAGTTCAAAAGGAGTCAGTCCCGTTACTCTGTTCGGGGTTGCTCTCAGATTCCACAAAATTGCGGGTAACAACTTATGCCATCCTTGGCCAGTTTGCAGAATGGCCTTGGTAAGAGCGGTTTTCAACGATCTGTTCATCCGTTCCACTAGGCCTGAACTTTGAGGTCTGTATGGGACGTGAAACTTCTGTTTAAGGAGTAAGAGGAAGTAGTGCTGCTTCTCTGGCCGCTGCATCTGCTGCCGTGTTTCCTTGACTTTCTTTGGACTTGTCAGATTGATGTGATTTTACTTTGATCACGGCTGCTTCTCTGGGTAGGTGACATGCTGCAATCAAACGACGAATTATGGAAGCATGTTGTATTTCGCTCCCATTGCTGGTGATAAGTCCACGTTTTTTCCACAGGGCAAGGTAGTCATGGACCACTCCAAAAGAATAACGACTATCTGTGTAGATGTTGACTCGTTGTCCTTCCGATAATTCGAAAGCTTCTGCAAGTGCTATGAGCTCAGCTACTTGTGCTGAAAAATGCCCAGAAAGAGCTCCTTTCTTCACGACATTTCCATCAGCTTCCACTACAGCCCATCCAGTATGTCGTTTTCCATCAACATAGTAACTGGATCCATCGACCCATAACTCCTTGTCTGGATTTTCAAGAGGTGTTGGACTAACAGGACCAAGACTTTCTTCTTCTACTTGTTTTTCACACTCATGTGGTGTTCCCTCGTGTGGTTCGATCATCATTGTTGCAGGGTTAAGGATGTGTCTCTGATGATTTCCACTCTCAAATCCTTGTTCAACAAAGTTGCTTCCCATTTTGCTCTCCTTGCATCAGTAATGGTCTTGATGTTTGTGTTGTTCAGCAACGTCACTATACTGTGTGGAGTATGCAATATGATTGTTTGTGCTCCTATCAAATTTTCCACAGCATCCACTGCCCATGTGGCACCATCGAGAGCTTGTATACATCGTGGTTGACCAATCATTGTAACAGGAATCTTTGTGGAAAAGTATCCAACTGGTTTGTATCGATCACCTGGTTTTTGACACAGTACTGCTGAGTACGTCTCATCTCCCACCCTGGTCCACAAATGAAATGGCAATCGTCCATCAGGAAGTCCCAAGGCTGGGGCTGAAGTCAGTTTTTCTTTCATTGAAGTAAATGCTTCCTCAGCTTCCGGTGTCCAGTTTATCTGTTCCATTCCAGGCTTTCCTCCCTTGTACAAGTCAATGAGGGGGCTGGTGATGCTGGCAAAATCAGGAATATACTGACGACAATAGTTGAAAAGTCCCATCACTTTCCTCATTCCTGTAACTGTTAGAGGTTTTGGAAGTTGCCGTAATGCCTCCACACGCTCTGTTGTCAGTCTCCTTCCCTCGACAGATATTTCTTGGCCCAAGTAGATAACCTTGGTTTTGGCCAGCTGTGCTTTGTCGGGGTTGACTTTGAATCCTCCTTTCTTAAGGGCTTGTAGGACAATATTCAGAGCAAATATGTGGCTGTTTTCATCTGGGCTTGCAATTAACAAGTCATCCACGTATTGGAGGCAAACACTTCCTGAACTCTCGATTTCAGCTTTTTGCTCCGTTAAGAACTGATCCAAAGTTCTGTGAAATACCACAGGAGAAATATTAAGTCCTTGTGGGAGTCTGTTCCAGACATACTGTTTTGCACCCACTGTGAAGGCAAGTTTCTCTTGAGATTTTTCGTCAATAGGTATAGACCAGAAAGCAGACAGTACATCTAGTACTGTGAAAATTCTTGCATTTCCTGGAATATCATTCAGAATGGTGGCAGGATTGGCCACAATAGGATGCGGTTTTGGTGTTACACTGTTGAGTCTTGTGTAATCAATGGTTAATCTCCATGAGTTATCCGATTTCTTGACAGGCCAGACAGGACTATTAGTGGTTGATGAAGTTTGTCTGATAATCCCTTCAGCTTCCAAGTCTGCCACTATCTCTTCCACGGCTCGTCTTGCTTCAGGTCGGATAGGGTATTGTTTATGAGGGGCATGTGTCGGCCCTTCAATAACAACAGGGTCAATGTTGGCTTTGCCACAATCAAATTTGTGTTTAGCCCAAACTTCTGGATGTAAACTGCACAGAAGACCCCACACACCGTCTTTGGTCCAGTCTCTGATAATTGGTTTTGCTGCACCAACTGAACTCAAATTACATGTGCGATCTTCGTGTGGTATTATCCCAGCTGTTGTAGCGATTTGACGACTGTCAGTGAAGATGATCATGTTCAACAATGGAAGTATGTCCATGCCAATGAGGCTTCCTTGTGAATTCGGTCCCACCCAGAAAGATGTCCATACGACTTCATCTTCATGTATTTGTAGTGGAACTTGGATACTTTTATGAAATGTTGTGATACCTCCTCCAACTCCTTCAACTTCCATAGTTTCATCTGTTGTAGGTAGGTTCAGATCTGTTATTGAAATTGAGGCTCCTGTGTCAACCAGGATATCACATGGGTGGCCCCCTATTAATGCATTGATGAAAAGGCGATTGTCTCTTTTCTTACTAATACAGGGGGCCGCTGATTCCTATTGCGGACGCATAATCCCTCTATGAGTTGACGGACTTGTGCTTCCGTCCATGTCTTCCCTTGAGAGGTTTCATCACGATTTTTCGCAGTGACTTGTTTAAATGATGGACCTTGACCTTCTGCTCCACCACCTTTAGCCCAGCAGTCTTTTCTTGAGTGGCCACGCTTTCCACAATTGCCGCAAACAACAATCTTATTCTTTGTATCCATGTTGTATTGAGCTGTCGCCACTCCTTTTCGATTTGTCTTGTTTCCTTCTTCCTTGTTTGATCTCATCGCCATCTCTAGACGGCCAGCCCATTGCATAATTTGGTCATATGTTTCGCCTGGATTGACTCCAAGTGATAACGCTTGTTGGTATTTAGAGCTAAACCCATCCACAAGTGTGTCAGTGAATTGTACATCATCTCTGTCAGGTTGTTTCTTAGCGCAGAGAGCCCATCTCTCATAAGTGTTCCACTTACGCAGAGCATATTCGTCTGGAGATTCATCATCCTTTTGCTTAATCAATGTCACTGAAGTGAATGGAATTTTACCGCTTCCCAAGATTTCTTGGATTTCCTTTCGGAATACATCTAATGTTTGCCAAAGACCCAGGGGTCGTCCTTGGCCATCAACCCACAAGTCTACCCATTGGGCTGTTGTTATCGACGCTGGCAGGCGTTCCCATCGGTCTCTTGGGATTTTAGCTTTCACAATGGTGTGAATGTCTTTTAGTGTCATTTGATGTGCTTCAACCAGGGAGTCTAATTCTCGCCAAAACTCTGTGTTTGGATCTTGTCTCTTCAGAGGAGGCAAGGCTGAGAGAATGGCTTGTCGTTCTCCCGGAGTAAATGGTCTTTCTTAGGTCATCATCTCAGGTTGCGACTCTTCCCTTTTAATCACAGGTGAAGAAAATTCAGGACCGATTTTGTCAATTGTAATCACGTCATCATCTCTTGTCTCATCACCCCAGTCAGATCCATAATTATGAGCTGGTGTACATCTCATCATGTCTCTGCTTGGCTGGGCTGATTTAGATCTTGTTATTATTGGAGCTGCTTGTGCAGATGCAATATACATTTTGTCAACTGGACCTCCGTTTGATCTTGAAGCTTGAGGCTGCGTCAGAGGTTAAGATGAACTTGTATATTGTTCAGGCAAAGGTGGATAAATTGGTTTGTAAGGTGGAGGCGTTATTGTTGTCGCGGATTTCACTGGTGCTTGTGAATATTTCCTTTCAGCTTCAGTTATTATATTTGTCCAATCTGGATCAAATAAATCATCACTGGTTGTGTTTTCCTTCTCTGGACATGTGATGGACATGATTTTGTTTAATTTGTGGTATGCTTCAATCTGAGGCTGCATAACTTCAACAAGCGGAACCGGACCACCATTTAAGTCGCAACAAATTCCACCTTGTTTCACAATCCAATTAGCTGCTAAAATTGGAAATGCTTTTGATTTTATCTTGTCTTTTTGGGACTCGAACCAGCTTAACTGCTCATTCATAGATGCATTAATGTCCAGTCCTTTTTTCAAAAGTTTAGTTAGTTTCTTGTTCTTCTTCTTTTCAAGATACCATTCAGCTATTGTGCTGCTGGTACAAACACTTGCTGCCATTTTCAAAGTGTTCAAAGTCTCTGCTCAGAACAGCAGGAATGTATGTGTGCCTATGTGTGTGTGTGTGAATTATACGGGACCTATGTTCAGAAACTGCAGCCTATGTGATGCGTCTGTGTGTGTGCTCAGAGCTGCAGGCTGTCTGTATATGTATGTGTATGTGCTCAGAGCTGCAGCCTATGTGTGTGTGTCTAAGTATGTGTGTGTGGGGCTCCCTGCCTCTCTCCCTCACCAACTGGATGTGTGTGTGTATGTGTATGAAGGTACAGGGCAATTCTGAAGGGAGGGGCTGCTTCGCTCTCTTTCCCTGTCCCTCACTCACAGAACAAAAGAAAAATTTAAAGAAAAGTTAACTCTAATGCCTTTCAGTATTTTAGTTTTCTTTTTAAAACTCAAAATGTTTCTTTTTTTTCTCTCTTTCTTTAGAAAAATACTTTGGATTTTATCTCAGATTAATTTCTTTGGTATTTATTTTTTTTCCTTAAAGTTAACTCGGATCAGTCTCCTCAAATATTTGAACAGCTTTACGGTCAGGTTCAGAATGCCCACGATCCTAGCTAGTTACAAGGGCGCCTTTTATACTTGTATAACTCTAGCGTGTTACAATGTTTTAGGGATTACTCTGCCATCATTTTTAAAACAGTCCCGCCACATTTAACCGCTTTGGTCAATCAAGTACCACTTGTGTTAACTTTCCTCGTCTCCTTCTGAGAACGAATCTTCGGTGTGTTGGATGTTTTAGGGATTACTCTGCCTTCTTTAAACAGTCCCGCCACTATCCAACCACGTCACAGTTATAACCAAGCAAATTTTACTAGCTTAACCGTTTTACAGCTAATTCCAAATTTCTGACTAGATGGTCTTTTTTCTAAAAAAGATCCATCTCTATCCCAGCATTTCAAATATTGTTTGAGGTTTACTTTTCAGAGAACCTTAAATAAGCCTAATTCAATTTGATTATTTAATCTGATTAATTTTTATATAATTTTTCCTTATGTCCCATATTCATTGGCAAAACAACTGGTACTTAAAATAACACAGTTCTTTTCAGCATTTCAGTCACTGTCTCTAATCATCAGGCAGACTTATAACTTTTTAGAAAGGAAAAAAAGTCTTACCTGAAATGATTGAGACGAATGCCTGGGTATGCGATCCTTTTCGTGTGACGCCAAAAATGTAGATTTAAAATCTTCGTTTCCCCTTGTTATTTAATTTAATGAAAAGACACCAGTCATTCTGCCAATATATGTTATTTATTTTACCAATTTATATAAGACATAAGGGAGAGAGAGTATAATGGACCCGCAAAGATCTTCCTTGTTGCTTCTGTATTTTTCCTCTCTCTGCCCAAACAAAGAACTTACACAGTACATATAGCTGTTCCAGAGAAACATCTGCTCTCCATCAATCATTGAAATGTATATTCTACTTCGATGGAAAGAAACATAATACACTCAACTTCCCCCCAAAGTCCCCCAAACTCTGAAAGTCTTCCACATACAGTATTCAGAAAAGTTTGATTCATAAAAATGTTGATTATAAAAGATTATGAATATATATGAAAAGTATAAAAAATGTATATGAA